TATAACACAATTAAAAGGAAAGCAAGAACTTGAGGATTAGACAACAAAGAGAGGGCAAGTAAAATACTATTTTAAAACTATGCTTAACATCCTAAAATGTTCTTTTATACCAAAAAGTTGTTTATAAAAACCCAATAATTGTTAGGAAGAAAGGAGGCTTTATTAAGATTATTTACAACTTGAGTTCATTTAGACTGTATCTTTGAGTCATAATTTTTTTTTACAAAAGATCATGTTGCTCTAAGGAGAAATTGTGCAGAATTCTGTTGTCATTTCCTGTAAGACATCATTATTAATTTAAGAAACAACGGGACTTTTTGCAGGCATGCCTGGCATTCTGTGAAATCAAATAAACACAAAATTTGGTAAGGTATGTTTATTTTCATGTCACATTTGGGGTGTCAGGATGTAGCCAGTCTGCACTACATTCTGTTATTTAGTAAATGAAATTCATAATACTTTTCTTACTCAGAAAAAGATATAATTAGTGTCTTGTCTCTAAAATTACAAACTACAGTAAATGCTCTTCAAAAGTGCACATAGTCACCTCTTTGAAAATGAACACATGTTGTTTTTCTACTTAAACTCAATTATGTTGCTTAAGGTTCCTTTGTAAAATGCTGACATCCTTTAAAAACCTCCAAAGGACTAACTACTTCAAGAAAATCTCACAGCAAAACTCTCAAATACAGATAATTATAATTTAAGTGATAGCATATCAAAGAGGACACATACAACTCTTTCTTTTTGGGGGGTGGCATGGGGGACAGGGGATCAAACTTGGGACCTTAAGTTTGCCAGGTAGGCATTTATTCCACCGAGCTTCATCTGCCACTGGTTTTCCTTACTTTCTACCATTTGCTCCAACCTTTCTTTCTAGGGCTGCTTAGAAAGTCAGCTTTATTGTAATTCTCCTCCATTATCTACAAATATAATGGAGGAGAATTACAATAGGTTGGTTATGACTTTTAATTAAAAAACAGTTATTCCCTTATGTGCAGAACAAAGATAAAGCATTATTTAATAGCGTACTAGGTAGTTTACAAATGTATCCATGTATTTGTCACTGTTTGTATAAAATGCTGATATCAAAGTCAGAAGCACATTTTAAACCACTCATTGTTGGCCCAAGGAACAAAATGAATTAAATTTGAATGGAATAGGAAGTAAAGCCATACT